TATGTATAATGTACACACGTGTACGTACGAGGAGTATCAGCAGCCCCAGCAACCTCTCCTCTTTCCCTCCTTCTCCTACCTATACACGGTGCCAGACGCACGAGACTCCCTATACCATATCCTCCTCCTCCCGCCCTTTCCTTTACCACCTTCCAGCACGGCTCGCTCATATAAATACACACATACGCTAATGGCATAATATACACATGCAACATACCTACATGTGTATACGCATATATATATATATATATATATATATATATATGTATCTCTCCTGGGTAAGGACATGGACACAGGAGATCATTCTCTCTGCAGTGTCAACTTTTCTTCGAGATCATCTATCGCGTGGATGTACTTGTACTGTTTTTCAAGCGAGTAAGGAGGGGGTATATGGGTGTATAAAAAAAAAAGAAGCCTCTTTTACGATTAAAGCCACGTATTTTATACGTATGGATAAATAAGCGAGCGTATAGTATGATGTATATATATATATATCAGTCCGGGCGGCGACAATGGCTCAAAGGTATGTCATCATCCTTGATTTGTCTCCCCTTCGACTGTTTTCGTTTTTTGTTTCTCTGTTCCCATTCGTTCGCAGTTATGGCGGAAAAAAAAAGAAAAAAAACCACAAAGTAGCTGCCAATGCGCTACGGGGGGTGTACGCGTTGTTTTTTTTTTTTTTTTTTTTAGGTATAGCGCGAGAGGAAAAATTTTTCTCCTCCTTGCGTGCGTGTGGGCACACAGACGTCGCGAGTTTTTCCAACTGCCTTTGTCTAGGAGGAAACGACGAGACTCCCCGTTATTGATCATGCGTTTTTTTTTTTTTTTTTTTCTTTTCATCGTTTGTTCCTTTTTTCTTTCCACTGTAGTGGCGATGCGTGAGTATCGGATCGCGGGGACGCAGTACATTTACACTCTAACGAAAAGGGATGTCGTCAAACAAAAATTGTTCCAATTTAAAAGGTGGATTCAGTTGTCTCTTAACATATTTGCCTACACTTTCGCATTTGAATAAATATTATTGATGGTAAAAATCAATCATTTTATCCATTGGTTAGACCCTATCAACTCAAACCCTTCGATCTCGTCCCACGGTGGTGCATCTAAAAACAAAACAAAAAAAGCTGCAAAGTTAATCAAGCATCGATTAGAGAAATTCTCGCGCGTGCCGTATACCACGCGTTTTCATCCGAAAAAGCTCAAACAATCATGCAGTTGGTATATAATTGACTCCCCTGCAATACGCGACTCCCTTCATTTTTTTTTTTTTTTTTTTTTTCATTATTCGATCACGCGTGTATATGCAATCGGAGAGGCTGCGCAACAAAAAAACAGGAGAGGGGAGGGGGATGACAGGTCCCCGCAGCGATCGTTATACTTTTGCCCCCTTTTGTTTCGCGGTCAAAGGAGGCCCGGGTACATTATATATGGGCGTACGCGGGTAGGTACACAATGATTACTTCGTCATACCGATCTCTCGGCTATAGCCGGTATAATTATATATACATACACTGATATACATCGTTGCTGTCGGGTGGATTCGTTCAATTAATCGCAGATGCCTCGGCGGGTATATCGGTATAGCGTACGTGTATACGTGACATCTGTGTACCCACTTGCTCTTTGCGTATCTGATGTGCTCCCCTGATTTCACTTTTTTTCCCGAGGACCGTGCGTTGATGCTTATCACCCGTACCAAGTGCACTGGCAAAAGAAACGAAAATAATTATGTTCGGATCATTTTGGCGATTGGAGAGGTGCTGATGTTCACATTACATTGTAAAAACTATTTTTTCCACCCCGCCCGAGACGTCCAATCAACACCACCATCCGAAATCCACTGGTGACAGACAGTATCGTTTATGTCAAATTTTACCCAACTTTTTAAGTATCGATTTACTTCCTCAATTGTATAATTAATTTGAACATTCTATACCATACTGTTTCTACATAAATTTTTTTTTTTTTTTTTTTTTTTTTTCCAGTATTATTTTTGTTTTTACATCACATAGTTTATCCACACAGTTGACGCAGCATATACACCTGCTCCTGTAAACTTTGCCGGTGCGCTCCATCACCCATCGAATCCATAAATAAACAAGCAAATATTAACGCGTATTAATCAATAAAAAAACCTCGGAAATTATTTTTTCTTTCGGCGGTGGAGGGATAGAAGATGTACTTATGATACACACAAACTTTGAGGGTAAAATACATATGTATATATGCTTAGGTATCGTGTATAGCCTTTGTTCTCGTGGTTCGAGGCCTGAAAAATTTTTAATACATACACACACACATCCCAGAGCCGACTCGCGTCTTTGATTAAAGAGCGACACACCGCGGCGGGTGGCGGTTCATCCTCGAAGCAGATTTATTGTGTACGTAGGCAGAGCGTATTGTATTTCGCGTATATATACGAAAGAAAAGGGGGGGGGGGAAAGCTCGACGGGCCATTTTGCCATCGCGAGGAGGAGGAGAGGAAGAATCTCATCAGCGACGGGAGCCAAATGTTGCGGAAAACAATGCGAGGCGACCCCCCCCCCTCCTCTTTTTCAACCATCATCTCTGT